CGAGTTAAATATTTAACTTGACTCGAATTTGGCTTGACTCGCAAATCATCGAGTCAAAAAAAACACCAACTCGACTTTATTTGAACTTGACTCGGCTTATCTGACTCGTGAGTTAACTCAACTCATCCGGAACTCTAATTAAAAGCTTGAATAATTGTGTTATAAATGTTTTTTTGATCAACATTTAAATCATTTTCATTATTTATGAAAACTTTTAATTTATCAGAATTATAATTAAGTTCTTCCATTATTAAATCTGATCTTGTAAATCCTCTATTATTTTTAAGAAAAGAATAATTTGGAGGAAAAATACTATAATCATCAAACTTCTTTTATAAGGTAATAAATATTTTTCAATATATATTAGTGTTTTTGTGATTATAATTGCATAATTTTCATCAGATAAATCTTCAGTATGTTGTTATTATTCATTCAAATAATCTTCAAATAAATCATTTAAGTGATCTTTAAAAGTTGAGAAGTATTTAACTCTCTTGAATAACTAAATATTAATATAGAAGCAAATAGTTGTTTTAGTTTTGATAGCATTTGATGTATTACAACCTCGTCAAAATATTTATCAAATTCATTATTTTCTTCATTTAATAATCCAAGCTGTCTCACTGCTATCAAAATATTTTCCATTTATGGTATGTGCAACTTCATAAGATATAGAACTATAAATTTGAAATAATAAAATTCTTAAATAAAATCTTTCTTTGTCTCTTGAACTGCAAGTATACATTCATGAAATTATTTTATCGCTACCTCTTTTTCTTTGTTACCAGTTTCTATTTTTCAGATAAAGTGTTTTGAAAAATAATATAATGCAAATTTCTTATATTTAAATCATCTTGATTATTTACATACATTTCAAAATAATGGGTTAATTTTATATGTGAGGATTGTTTTAAAATATTAAAAAGATCTTCATTTTCTTAAAGATAATATTTTATTGATTAAATAAATAAACTGAAAGTCATTTAATTTTATATAATCTTTCTTGTAACCAAAATTAAATAATTTCTAGGATGCTTTAATGGCAGAAACATATCTTGCATTTAAATGTTAAGTGATTTTATCATTTTTAATAGATTCTATTATACAATTAAGTCTTTTGTAAACATATTTGTAAAGATATTTCACAGAACAGATGCTTGAACATATTTTTACTTTAATATGATAGTCATATTTTTGACAAATATAAGGATTATAAAGTATAATTCATCTATTATCTATATTAAATTTTCATTTTTTGACTGTTTTTTCATTGTTTCTTCTTCTATATATTAGATATCCATTTTTATTTATTATTGTTTTTCAGTAACATTTCTGTGATAATTTTTGCTATATTTACCATTTATCATATAAGAAGATTTAGGATTCAAGTTTCTGCAAGATTCATGAATCATGTTTCTAGTAACTGTATTATATAATAATAGTTAAAGATCTTTATTTAAAATCTCTATGTATATTATCTTATCAAAATCTTCAAGTGATTTTGGTTTATCTTCAGCTGATAAGATCATTAAAATATGTGTTTATAGCAATCCTTTTTTTGGAATTCAATTATATGTACATGGAGAATAACTATCTTTTACAAAAAGATCATAGGTGATTTCTTTTAATTTTAATTTAAACACTCTTGAAATATATTAGGTCAATCACTTGCTTGTTGGTTTGATAAGTGTTTAGCTTTAATTTCTGGCTAATTGGAATTGCAAGTGACAGTGATAAATAAATCAGATTTTTCATATTCTCTAACAATCTTAATACATTTATTGTATGTATCTGGTGATCTAGTAAATGAAGATAATAAGATTATTTTTTTTCCAATCTTATCTTTGTAAAATCTTCATCAGTGATAATGTTATACAAACCTGAATATAATTTACTTTTATAATATTGTTGCAATTTTCTATATCATCTTAAATAATTTGATTTATCTTTAGCATATTGATCTATTAAATATTGCTAAAATATTCTTTCAGCAAGATATAATATACTTTTTGTTTATTTGAATCCCTAATTTGCATTTAATATGCTGCAAATTTTCTAATTGTCACCATTTTCTTTTCTTTTCTTTTGGTTGATTTTCTAATTCTTCATTATCTACAGGTTTCATTCCCTTATCATCATTATCTACAGGTTCAATTTTCTTATCATCATTATCTACTTCATCATTATCATTATTGTCAAGAATAATAGAATTAATTTCATCAACTACTTTATCAGATATATATGCTCTTTCTTTACCTTAATTTTTAGTTAAGACAAATTCTAAATCAAGATTTTCAAAATTTTGTATAATTTCTTCTTCAATGTGCATTTTATTTTCAATTCAAAGTTCAGATTCAGGTATAGAATCAATTATATTTACTTTCAAAATGTTATTATACCATTTAAAGATGATATTGCAACTAGTTATAACTATATAATGCTTATTTGTCACTAGTTGCAACTAGTTGCAACCTTGTGATGCTTATATGTTACCAATTGCAACCAATTGCAACACCATCTTTAATATCATCTATATTCACTATAAGAAAATAATAAAGAATATTGTAATGGATCATAAGTACCATTTAATTTAGAGATATGTTTTAATTGTCTTTTATGAGTTTAAATAATAATATCTCGATATTCAGGTTGAATGTCATAGTCACAGATAAGAACTGCAACTTCTGATGCTATTAGTTTATTATATTATCTCATATCCTTGCTATATATATTATGAATGACTATTTTTCATTGTAAATTATTAGATTCACTTTTGGCTTTAGCTCCTGAGGTTACAAATTGCTCAACAAATGGATTATTCTCTAATAATTCATTAATTTAATTTAAATTTTTTTATTTATTTAATTTAATTTTTTTTTTAGATTTTTTATATAATAGTTGGTTAGCATTTGTGATAAGTGGGTGAAGCTTAATTTAATTAATTTAAATTAATATTTTAATTAATTTAAATTAATATTTTAATTAATTAATAATTTATTTTTTAATTTTTTTTTAGTTTTTTTTGATAAATTAAAATAATTATCTACAGCAAATATTGGTAGCTGTGATAAGTAAATTTAATTTAATTTAACTATTTTTTAATTTAAATTAATATTTTAATTAATTACCGTATTCCTCTGAAAATAAGCAACATATTTTTGCTTATTTTCGGGTACAATCTAAAATCTGCTAATTCGTCAATAAATCTCGTGATTGTTAATTGCGTTAATTATCTAATGTCACATAAAATCATGAAAAAATTTTTTATTCAGCTAAAATGCCACATTCTACAAAAAAAAATTGTTAAACGAAAGGTTATAAAAGTTAATAAACGTACACGAACTTCATATTCTATTGAATAAAAAATACAAGTCGTTACCTATGCAAAAGAACATAGTTACATTAAGACAGCAGAGCACTTTGACATCAATTGTAGTATGGTAGGATGTTGGGTAGCTGCTAGTTCAAACTGGACAATTGAAACAAAAGGAAAAAGTAAGAGGCTTGGCTCTGAACGAGAAGCCTTTTATCCTGAAACTAAGAAGAGACTTTATAAATGGATTATAGAACAAAGAAAGTAAGGTCTCGCGGTTACCTATGCAATAATACGAAATAGAATGCTGGAAATTTTAAAAGAACCAAATATGAAGATTCTTTATGGTAAGTCAAATTTTAAACATCTCATCGCTGGTTAACTGCTTTTATGAAAAAATATAGGTTAGCATTGCGGGGAAGAACTAGAATATCTCAGAAGCTTCCTAATCAAACTAAAGAGCAATTAGAAAAGTTTCACCAATTTGTTACTAACCTAAGAATTG